CAAGTTTAAAGGCAAAGGATACCATATACACACACACACACACACATATATATATGGCAAGTGAGCAAGAGCAAACAATGCGAAGGACAGTCTAGGAGGAATGGCCAGGGTAGAGTTGTTGTCCTGCTCCCCTGAGAGCTCTGGGGTCCAGCATGCACACAGGCGTGCACAGGATGCTGTCATAGGATGAGGGAGGGAATCAGTCTCAGTGGTGCTCTGGGGAGGAGATGTAGTGGAGCTCAAAGCTCTCCTTTACCTGTAGCTGAAGAAGAGTGTACTGCCAAGAAGCAATTCCAGGAGCTTTGAAAATGAAGCGCACAGCATTGGTGATCAGGAAGCCAGCCTGTGATTCAAACAGAGATGACACTGTCAGCTAACTACTAGTACTTGTAGGGAAGGAGTTTTCACAGCCTTGTAACATTCTCAGCCCTGGGAAAGTCTGGAAGATATACTTGGTCTGCTGCTGCAGTTCCTCCCTCCACTCTCACTGCTAGATGGCTCAGCATCTTTGCTTCTCTGAACTACCCAAGGTACACACAGAGTCGGCTGCATGAGTTAGGGCCTGGCCACAATTTCCTGTTGATGGCTGCAAATTCTTCACTTTTATTGACAAAACATGGCTATATTCAACAACAAAGGCTTGAAATGAGACCTACCAGTACAATAGGGACAGCATATTTCAGCATCACTGACTGTACAGTGAATCTCTCATTATCCAGGGCTGTCACAGGACGTGACAAAGCCATTTCCAGACACCACCTAAAAAATGGAAAACAGCTTGAAATTTCAGCAACCAAACTCTAACCCTGCACTCTCCTCAGATATAAACCTCCTAGTAGACCTGATTAGAACACTGCATTCACCCTGTGTTATGAGGGATGACTGTCAAAAGAGAAGCCAAGTTCTACAATAACAGTTGCACTTGCCATGGCAAATTTGCAGTGCTGTTGAGCAAACTCCCCAGGTCTCCTCACCCGCTTAACAGGAAGGCTCCGTTGCCCCAATGTGTACTGATACTTGTACAGAACATTCACATTTCTCTGTCTCCGACCAAAGGAGATAGCCAGTGATATGGTAATCATCATGGTTAAATCAAATGCATGAAATCTGTGACGTCCCTGCATCGTTCAAATTTAGTTGGAAAGTAATGAGTTGAACAGTAACACTTAGCACATATGTGGTTTTACATATTAGCCTACCAGTTAAGGAAGACAATTGAAGACAGAAAGTAAGATACTTAGAGCATTCCCAGGTAATAAAGAAAACACAGCACAGCATATTTGAAAATTCCTGTCCTGGACTGGTAAGTCTCATTTTTTGCCGACACAAGGCAGCAACAAGGACACAGACAAGCTGTGCAGGCATTGTGCGCTGTATTTAACCCACCTGACATTATCAATTATTGGGGTCTTCAAGACACGGAAGAGACGATACAGCTGAGGGTTCTGAGGTCCCTTCTTCACTTCTCCCCTTGGGGAGGGTGGAGGTGAGAAAGGTGGAAAGAGATCTCCTGGCTCCAGAACTATGTGCTCATCATCCTAGAAAAAAAGCGAGAGCGCCCAAAGGCTGCACAGTCAGGGCCTCGGTGGAACCCTGCTGTGAGGGGCTAGAGGTTTAGTCTGGCAGGATCCCTCCCACTGCAAGTGACACAATACATGTTTGTCACAGGTCTCTCCCTCAGCTCTCAAAAATTCATTAGCTGAACTATTGCTTCAAACTTGAAACAAAATTAAATGCTTGTGTTCAAGCACATTTTATTTCATGAAAATGGGCATTTGGAATGAAAGTTACGATAAAAAACAACAAATGTAAATTTCAAGCTTTAAACTTTTTCCGATCTTCAACAAGCAGCAAAATCTTTGCATAGATCTTGTAATTGATTTGTTAATTTACTTCTACACCAGGTAGTTTATATTATCTTTTTTTATCATGAATCAGTAGTAAGGAGAAGGTAAAAGCAGACAAACTTTATTTGTCCACACAAAACCCAGGATAAAGTAGGGGGTTTGTATGTCATATCATCCTACTGGCTAGATTCACTCCACTTATATTCAGCTGCACATTACATTTCGCCCTTGACCTGAAGAGGTGGAAACATGGTGCCTTAGTATCACGTTAGTGTCTCCTGTCCATTGGTTTTGGGAGTTCATAGAGAAGATGCAGACTGAGTAGGAAAGCACCGTCCTTTTCTAAACTGCAATTTCAAACCATTTTCAAGGTCAGAAGAAATCAAACACTCCAATAATCTGTACACTGGGAATTAAGAGTATTAGCACAAAAATCCTGGGAAATATATTGGTACAGGCCAGGGAAATAAGACAAGCAAGTTACCTTAATCCCTCTCAGAGAAGCAAATGACTCCTGGCCTGGCCTCAAAGCAATGACATCTCCTTCTACTAACAGGCTGACAGGCAGGTTGACAAGATGACCATCCCTGTAGGCCCAATGAAGGGACCAGGATGGGGCATAAGGCATGTGAAGGTCAGGGTACATGGAGTCTGGCCATTTCACCTCTTTGCCAAGTGTATCTGAAAGCATAAAGTGTGAAAGAATCAAGTGATAACAACTCTGGAGGGGCCAATCACACAACAATTTACATCCTGTAGCGGCTATAGGTCCTCCAATGCCAAGCTCAGTTCATTCCCACGATCTTTTATCGTCTCTCTCTTTCTCCTTGATGGCTTTTCCCCTCTCTCTCCACTCAGTATTAACAACTAAACATAGTCATTTTATAACCTTAAATACATACTTGTACAATGGAAAAGCTAAAGGCTGTCCTTAAAACTGCTGCACTGAAATGAACTGCCTCCTCAGGTTCAAGAGCCCACATTGAGACGATGCTCACAAGCAGCAATTTATTTCCTTCTGTTCTATGTTGTGGTACAACCCCACGTATTCTTCTCTCATCATCTGCTACAAGGCAGATATTTTTGTAAGATACTGAGGATTCGAATTACTCCAAAGCACAGACATAACAGACGCCTACCTGATAACACACAGAATGGAAGCACATGGCCACATGACAGCTCAAAATAACTATTCTACAGGACAGGCATGAGTAGGACACAATTCTCACAGCCTGTTTCCGTGTAACATAAGGGAAGGCTAGTAAGCTCAATTAGTAACGTATGTGATCAGGTTTGGAGAAAAATCCAATGGGAGAAAAACACAAATGCAAATGAGGAACAGATGAATGAGACCTCACCATTTATCTTATCAATGATTGTCTGAAGTCTCCTCTCCACCTCTCTGCACTTCAGCCCCTCTTGACGCCCGATCATGAAGAGATCCAAGAGGAGAAGGAGGAAGAGTGCCAGTGCATTAACTATCTCAGCACCTTGGCTTTGCACAGCAAAACAGAAGAAAGCAGAAAGCAGATGAGATTTGAGTAAATGAGCAGAATACTCTGCCAACCGCCCACAGAGATAAATGCACACCTGCTTGGTTGTTTATTCCTAAATCCCACAGACTTATGGCTAAAAAAGAAAAGCAAGGGAGCTATGATCACACTATTTCTTTAGAATAATCCCACCAGACAAGTCTGAAAGGACTCATCTCAATTGTAATACCCTTACAAATACGGTCAAGGCATGCTATGGCACATGTGACAGCACCATAACTTCTATGAGCCACTAACTTCTCCAGTTTCAAAATCCTTCCTAAATATGATAATGCCTTAGGATTTTTCAAGATCTAGGAACGCTGTAGAAAAAAAATCTCAATCTCTTCATAGGAAACTCTATGGGTCTATTAGAAGTAGATTTAAGTTGGCTGAAGTTTTGCAAAAGGGACCGATAGGGACAGAATCACCACTATGAGTATGCTAATGTCTAGATGTTTAGGCAAAATGAGGGACAACACTGTTATGTCAACCACAGACAGTGTCAAGACGATAATAAACCTTACTTCAGCTAACCAGTATAGGATGACTTTGCTTACCTCCCCTGTGGCTGGCTCCCATAGCAGCACAGCAGCAATAGCACTGCCAGAAGCATCAGAGATGCACCAGGCCAGTGAAAACAGGAGCAACGGTTACCATGGTACAGAAAACTGCTCCTCCACACCTCCTACAAAAGGAGAGCAGCAGACAGTCAGCATTCATGAAATACAGAGCCAGACATTTGAAAAAGCAGAGTGAGAAACGCTGAAGGCAGCAGTTGCACTCCAGGGTGAACACAACTTTGTAAAACCTCTAAAAATGATACAGAGCATCCCAGATCAGTTATGCAAATGCTACAGCACTAATGGCTGCTCAGCTGGCGACTCTGGGTGAACACTCTTTGCTCTACTCTTGCTTGAAAGAATGAAAAGGCTTCTGTGTCAGGCTGCCCCATTGTCACTAACCAAGCAAGGAACACTTTTAAGTACTGTGCATAAATGCTAGCACTTTGTATGCAACACACATGCCAGACAAACATGGTGGACAAGGGGAGACTGTTGAGCTTTGCAGCTCTTTCTGTCCACCTGATACGGACTCCCTAGGCACACTGCCATCAGTGGCTCTTGAAGCCCTTAGATACTTCACAGGTGAAGCTAAGCTCCTGTAGAGCTCCACCATCCAGGAGAGAAGTGCTGAGAAAAACATACCCTTAGGTAATTCCTTGCTTTGGTCCCAAGGACTTTGGCAGTTCTACACCAAGACACTCTGCAGCAGCAGTCTGGGAGGGAATGCAGCCAACTTTTGGTTTATCTTCAGCTTTAGTTTTAGAAGGGGAGACTGAGTGCGCAACCTTGTGCTGTCTGGTGCCTCACCTTCCATGAACTCCCTTTTTTCTGTTCCTTCTGATGCCCATCCAGCAGTGCTGACAACTGGTCTCTCAGAATCGTGAGGGCTTTCTTTGTGGTAAGGCCCAAACTTGAGGTCATCTCATCCTGAAGTGCCAGAAAAACAGTTTAGTGCTTTCCTGTTTTCTCTTTGGGCTTCTTCCTGGTGGCTGACTGTGCACCCTACCATGAATGCCCTGCACTCATCAGCACCAGTCTGATTCTCCATTTTCCTGAAATCATCTTCCCTTCTGTGAACTTTAGACTGCTGGCTGGAATTAGAGCGTCTAGATAACATCAGGTAAACAAGCCAGTTCTAACTGTGCTTTATCGAACCACAATACCAAGTCATTTCTGTGAAACAAGATTCTGATCAGTAGAGGCTGGGGACAATACAAAGGGAGGCTGCTCAGCTCCCAGGTTGTTATGCAGGCTAAACTGGTATCAGCTTGTAGAGACAACAGAACACAGTTATGGTAGAATTTTAATGCTACAGGATGGATTTTTCCAACAGTAATAACAACTAAGTAGTAGAATATCTGCAATTCTAACAATATCTGATATCTGCTCCTTATGAATTTTTGGTTATGAATCCTGCCTCTGTGGCTACTTTGACACAGAACCTCCCAGATTTAAGTGCTAATCAATGCACCAGTTCAGGCAGAGACAGGATGCCAGCATCAACTCCTCCTTTTACAAAAGAAAGCACTGGAAATTTAAGTGCTGGATTGTGTGAACATACAGGTCTATGGAAGCACACAGAGTCCAGACTTCCCTCACTCTTCAGCAAAGAGGCAGCAACCTGAAAAGACGCAACCCAAGAGCATGCCATCTAATGCTGATAACAAGAAAGTAGGGTAAAGGCTTGCATTTCTGGAGCAAGAACACAAGCACTTACCTTCCTTTCAAATCACAGAGACTGCTGAGAGGTACTGTGGGTACCAGATCACTGAAAGGGAATCAACAAGGAAAAGCAGGCAGGTGTCCATGAGAGGGCTACAGCAGCTATCAGGGAACTGGTCAATAAAAGTTCTCATTTGCATTTCATGTTTTAATACAAACACCCTGAGGGCGTACGGCGCATAGGATATCCTGCATGTTAGAAATGCTCAGGTGTATCATACTGTTTACAGAGTACAGAACCACTGAACACAAAGCAGGCAGGAAGCTTCCCCCTCCGGTCCCCATCAGTGCGACACACAACCCAGCAAATACAGCTCAGGCAGGAGCTGCAGCTCTTCCTGCTATTGCAGTCACAAGCTCTTCCCAGCCCTGCCAAATCCACCGTGGTCTCAAACTGCAGCAGCTCTGCTCTTCAGGACCTGCATGCTCGCACCCTGCTCTGCAAATGCAGCTCAGCTATGATCTGCACTTTTCTTCCCGTTCCTTAACTGAGTGGTTTCGTGATGAACACGTACAGGAAACTAATTTCAGACTTCAGACTCATTTGCATTGATGGTCCAATCCACAATTGTAAGCGTCAAGGAGTAGAAGGTAAACACTCTTCAAACTACCGTTTACCACACACACACACACTCCCCACCTATCAGGCACAATTTGAAACAGCAAATGCTGGCCAGGCAGAGTCTAGCAATGCTGCTTTAGCTGCACTTTTACAGAACTAAAAATAATCCTGCTGTAGTTTTCATTCTCTGTGTCAGTTTTAGGAATAGAGGAAGCAGTTTGTGTTGTTCTTGGAAGCAGCCCAGGTAACATCAGCACAGGACTAAACATAGGAGTCTCTCAAAGACTCCCAGAGGAGAAGATGGCAGGCAGCATAGCTGGCAACAGACATGCTGCTGCACGACAGGAGTGCTGCAAACAGGAGTGCCTGTGAGCAACATGGAGCAACTGACAATAAGATTTCTCTCTCTCCGCTGACTGCTGGCTGTTTGGGGCATAGAAAAGCACCCACAAAAGCAGTCATCCTCTCCAACAAAGGGAAAGCAGACAGATAAAATAAAAGACACAGAAAGAAAGGCAGCAATAATAAGAGGGTCTTCAACAGAAAAGCAACGTCTGCTTAGACACCGAGCCAGTTCCAATGGATACATCAAGAGCTACGGAAGAAATGAGGAAAGCTGCACTTAATGCCAACATCTAGTGCAGTCACACACTGCCTGGAAAGACAAACTGCCACATCATAGCAGGTAGCCAGCAGAAAAAGGCAGCAAATCCAGAGGTAATCAAAAAGGTTCCTGAAATACTTGCACACCTGCTCCAGTCCTTACACAGGAGTTACTGTTTTGCTGTAGTATCCATCAAAGTAAGGGCAGCCACAAAGGAAGGTGGCTGTAGCAGGTGAGAAAGAACAAGTGCAGAGTGTGGCCGGGCTGCGGAGGAAGAACAGCAGGAAGGGCAGGGATTGCTAAACACCCATCCCGACACTTCAAACATGGAGTATTCAGCAAAGCAGACAGAGCCGGACTGGTAAATAAACACTGTAATAAGGTGAGTGAGAGGCTGCATGCAGTGACTCAGATAACCTAGTGCCGATGAACATCAAGGGAAAGTGCTTGGAACCAAGGAATGAAAGGGACAGGCAAGAAGAGCCACCCTGAGCTCCTGGCAAGGGGCAGCTGCAGGTTTTCGAAACAAGAGCTGCCCTGCTAAGTCATCAACTGCTAATGAGGCATTTTTCAAATGCCCTAAAGTAAACCTTTCTATATGGCAAACCTAGGCACTCTTAAGCTGTCCCAGAGGGATCTTTCCAGCCTTTCATCAGCTGCAAGTGCTCTTCCTGCCACAAAACAGGAGGCGAGCACCCCAGGGTGAAGAAGCCATTCACCGGAGGTGTCAGCTCATTAACAAAAACGTCAACATTCACATCTTTGTTTTGGAGAGTTGTATTCAAAGAGTAATCCACTAATTTTCAGGTCAAAACAAACCCAGCAAGACACTTTCCCACCCAGTGCCTTAGCACAGGTCTTCCTCTGAAGAACAAAAAAAAAAAAAAGTCAAGACAGACAGTAAATTCCAGGTTACAGTGAAAACAAACCCCTGATGAGTATCAGAAGGCATTTTAAAAAGCTATACTTTCCTTTTGCCCATGCCTAAAGGGAAAAAATCCTGAGGAGAAAATGAACAGTTGTTTCCTCCTTTGCCCCGAGAGGCTGGAGAGCATATGAGCCTCTAAGTGCACTTATGGCTCCTCTGGAGCCGACCCTTGCTCCGGCTATCACAGCCTTAGTCCAAGAGGCGTGACTCAAGCCAGGTAAACACAGGATGATTGCAACCTTCTGCCTTGCAGACGATAATGTGTCTCTCTCAGTTCTCATCTGCAGGATGGCTGCTAAGGAAAAAGCGCACAGTGCAGGAGATTTTTTTTTACATGTGATTTCATTTTCTAGAGGGAATGAATGTGCTGAGGTGCGGACTGGATGGGAAGATGAAATTGAGTGAATGGGCTCCTCATTTCTCCACTTCCAGTAAATATCCTAAATGTTAAATTACTGCTTAGCTTGCCTGCAAATGACAGGGGAAGGGAACTTGAGCTAGATCTAACAAATGCTCAGGTTTAGGAGCTGGTTTGGCTCTTCAGGAAGAAGACAAGCAGCAGCTCAGAGTGAGGAGATGGGGAGCCACAGAATCAGTAGACTTCTCTTTGCCTTCTCCTCTCAGTCGGCCCTCAATAGTTTGGCAGGGGGAATTAGTTGGCAAATAGTCCATGATTCGAGAGCTTGTTTAAATCTGTAGCCTTGCCTGGCTCACAGCAAAAAGGTTTCCATCCTCATGGGTTGCAGGAGTGTTTTCAGATTGATAGGTAGGAAAAGAGTGGTTATCTTCTGATTTTTCCTCACACAATGTGAAGCTATTCCTGAGCATCACCACCTACTCATGTCTGCTTCCCGCAGCCCACCTTCATCCTCACACAAAATCGCTACAGGTTCCTGATCTGTCCTCCTAAAATTCCCCATCCTGTTCTTTTACACATAGAACCATTCCAAGAATATCTTAAAAGTTTATCACACTCTCTGCTATCCGATGAAAGATAGAGGTCTTGTTTCTTCCTTCAAAAGGAACAAACAAGCAGAGGTCAGAATGTATACAGGTAAGAAATGGACACAAAATATTAGTATAATTAAGTCCTATTTTCATACACCCATTACACATCCACAGTAGCCTATTTATTTGTTGTACCAATACGTGTTGATATAATATGTGGTGGTGTATCACGTGCCAAACATTTCTTTAAATAATACTGGAGCACAAATATATTCTATGCTTTACAGAATTCATCCTGCCAACTGCTTCTGTAGACACCTAAGTTGATTCAACTGAGCAAAGTGGTTGAATCATCCTCCATCCTCTGTTGATTCAGTCTCTTGCAGAATAAGGGCTTCTCACCAAGACTGCTGTACACTTCAATGTAACTGCCTTTACAAAGATTGTTTAAGCAAATAAGGGAACAGAAAACAGAAAATTTGCTAGAAGCTTCAATTTTTATAGACTGCAGTTCCACCCCTACGAGGCAGCTGTCAGATTGTTTCCCTCTTCCCAGGCTGCACACACTGGGCCCCTTTTTTAACACTTCTACTCAATTGCTCTTCAAACAGTTGGAGGCGGGCAACTGGGCAGCAGAATATTCTTCCTTTTTCTGAGAGCTATTCTGCATTCTTTTGCAGAAACAAGAAGGCAGTTTTTAATTTAACAATGACATTTTGCACACTATTAATCTACTTCAGGGATTACACCTCCTGAAATGTAAGCATTATTCACAGTTTCAAAAACACATGAGAAGGAGTAACTCCACCAAATATATTTGCATTTAGTACTGTAAGTCATATCCTTGCTCAGGATAAGGCACAATATGACCCATAGTGGGGTTCTTTGGGTCTCATCAGAGAGTATGGCAGACATCATACACATGACAGCATGCAATTTCTTGGGGCAATGTTTCTTTCAGCAGGCTAGTGCTACAGAGGGATTTATTCTTGTTCTAAAGCAAATTATATATCAGTATGCTACAGCTCTGTCCAACTGCAGCTGCTGAGTTAATGTTCAAAGTGCCTGAAATGGCACAGCCATGCTACAGAACGATACAGAGGTAGCCAGAAAGCCAATGTACAGGCCACTCTTGGCAAAAGTTGCCCTTTATTACC